GCTTGAGAGTGGGGGCTAATGTCAAGTACAGACCATAAGCAGTTTTTGTAAGGCTTTCATAGAGGGGTGGAGAGACTCTTTTAAAGATGAAATGACTATCGCAGTGGCAAGGGGGGAAAAGAAGAGACAAGGCTCTGGTGTTTCCCTGGTAAATGCAGCACTTATTCAGAGGGTCAGACTAGCATCTCTAGAAAAGTCATAGCACAGGTTCATCCTGAGAAGAGAGTCAGGTGAGCATTTCTATTATCTGTTATAAGTGTGTGTGTGTGCATATGTGTATATGGAAAATAGCACCTCAAGTAAGTGTGGTTGTGGTGGAAAGTGGGAACTAGGAGGTGCTGTGGATGTCTGAGTCTTAAAGGCATCAGCCCCTCCTATACTGAACCTGGCATCAACCGTGGTTACCATGACCGACCAAACACAACCAGAGAGCTGTGATACCAAGGACACAAGGAAATTAAGATGGAAATCAAATTATCACTCTTTTGAGGGTCAAACTCCAGTGTGCTCAAGAATTACCTTTGAATGCTTGCTAAAATACAGATTCCAGGAATTCTTCTCCCCAAGATTTGGATTCAGGACTTCTGAGCTGGGGACCTGGAGTCTGTGTTTTTAGCAGCTACCCAGGCAATTCTGGGCTTCCCGGGTAGCTCAGTGGTAGCGAATCCACCTACCAACACACGGAGACAGGAGAGATGCAGGTTGGATCCTTGGGTTGAGAAGATCCCGTGGTGGAGGAAAATGGTAAACCTTTTCAGTATTCTTGCTTGGAAAATTCCATGGGCAGAGGAACATGGTGGGCGGCAGTGAATGGGGTCGCAAAGAGTAGGACACGACTGAATGACTGAGCGTGCACGCAGGCGATTCTAATGTAGCGAATCTGGCTTGGGAACTGCTGACCTAGAAGGCTGTGTTTCTGGGCAGTGGACAGACCTGCCTGTCTCCTTGCTGATAAAACCTGCCAGTAAGCCACGCAGCCTGGCTGTGTTATGGAGATAATACTGTGAACGGAACCCAGATGACTCATATGTAAACTTATTAAGTTCCAATGTTTTCATAAGCAACTTATCCTTTTCAAAAATCAGGTTATAATAGATTTCGGAGGGAGTCTTTGGGCTTGCTTGTCAGAAACAATGGCACAGGTCGATGGTAGATTTAGGGACATTGCCACACCCCAACAGTGGATGCTGTCATCTCGGGGGGCACAGATCTTGGCTGGCGATCAGATGACTAATTGCACCAGATTTCTCTGCAAGGGTCCTGGGAGGGTCACGCACATGCCTGGCCTCTTACTTGGACTGCAGTAAGCCAACTGCCTGTTAATAGCCCTGCGCTCCCTTTAAAAATGTCCCAGGAGGCTCTTTCTTTCTGTCCTGCAGAATTTAGAGTCTCTGATGAGAAATGGGCCTCGGTCTTGGCTAAATTAACTCTTCAGGTGTTATTTCCATCAGGATAGACTAAAAAATGGGGGACTCTAGATCCCTTACAAACCACGGAGGCAGCACTCTGTGGGACATTTATGTAATCTGTAGCCCGGTGTTTAACCTAATCCTAAAACAATTTAGATTTTTTGCAAAACTAGTTTAGTATTGGTCGTTGCTCTTTCTGGACACTGATGAAATGATGTAAGAAAAACACGAAAGTTTTCTCAAAGTTCATGTCTGTTTCATTGTCCTTTAACATGCAGACAGGAATATTTTATGGGCCAATCTATAAAACCTCATTGTGTATCCTCAGGCCATTAGTGTTTCTCAAAGTCTAACTCACAATACTATTGTCAAACTCTAAGAGACAAAGAAATGTTCTTTTTTTTGTCAAGTCAAAATCCAATTTATGTGGTGGGAAACAATGCTGTTTTTCTATTAAATGTGTATTTAAGTCATAATACAGCAGTCAGATAATTTGGGTGCTTCTCTGCCTGTCATGGGAACTGGGAAGACACACATTCACTTCTGTGTTTATGACATAATCCATTTTTCTTTTCCATTATGGTTTATTAGAAGATATTGAATATAGTTCTCTATGCTAGGACCTTTTTTTATCCATTCTACATATAATAGTTTGCATCCGCTAATCCTAGACTCCCACTACACCCCCCCCACCCCTTTCCCTCATGGTATAATCTTAATATTACATATTGGAATGATCAGAAGACACTGATGAATCCCCTGCCTGATTATTATCAGAAAGGATCATATCAACTAAAATTACTCTGGTTGGCCAAGATTTCTCAGAGTTGAGTTGGACTTTGTCCTAGCTGGACAGCTCTAAAGGAAAAACTCATTCAGAGTTAAATAAAATAATGAATGTTCTGGGTAAAATGTGAAGCTTTAGTCACGTTAAAGACTGTTTTTGTGTTCTTGGGGCTACCTATGGCAGCTAACATCCTGGTGAGCTCATCAGAATTTAGAGCTATTGAAAATCAGAAATTCACTTGGGGCCATATTGGGATTTAAAAATTATTGAGATAGCCAACTAGTAAGACTTAACTTTAGAAAATTTTGAAATTATTTCTTTCCTTTTTGGACCTAGAAATCTGGGAGTTGCAAGCCCAAATCTGTCTGAGCACTTGGCAGATTTAAAGGCCAATTTTTGTGAAAATCTTTGGCTCTACATCTGGGCCACCAGTGCTCAGCTGGGTCTGTTCTCCTCCCTGCCCCCAGGAGTTATTATATATATATATTATTATATTATATATATTATGTTTGTTACACCTGGGTTGAGGTACTGCTGACATGTAGGGAACATTTAGCAGGATGCTAAACACCCGATTGTGTATTCTACAGCCTCTCCCCTCCCCCACAAGAAAGCATTTAGCCTTCTTTTTTTCTCTTTCTAAATTATGAAAGTATGATAATACATTTACTGGAGACTTGGAAAATACATAACAAAGTTACATATAGTTCCACTATATATTACAATTATTTTTCTACTATATATTACAATTATTTTTAAGTAGATAAATTAAGATTTTTAGTTGGAGTTTCAATATCAAACTCTCAAAAATTAATAGAATGAATATATAGAAAAGTAGAAAGATATAGCAGACCTGAAAAACACCAGGAACCAATTCAACATAATTAAGATTTATGCAATTTTCATGTAACAGTAAGATACAAATTCTATTCATGTCCCCAATATAGACTATAAACTAGGTGACACTGGAACATACCCAGGAACCATTTATCCCTCTTACGTGTCAGTAGTGCTGAGGTTGAGAATCCATGTTCTAGGCCTTGCTGGGACCATCCTGGTGTGGTTCTGGGCTGACATCCCATGAAGGTGAGAACCAGCTTCTCTGTCTTCTCAGAGGACTTCAGTTCTGCATTTGACATCAGTTTAGTTCACCTGCTCAGTCTTATCAGACTCTTTGTGACCCCATGAACCACAGCATGCCAGGCCTCCTTGTCCATCAGCAACTCCTGGAGCTTACCCAGACTCATGTCCATTGAGTTGGTGATGCCATCCAGCCATCTCATCCTCTGTCGTCCCCTTCTCCTTCTGCCCTCAATCTTTCCCAACATCAGTGTCTTTTCAAATGAGTCAGCTCTTTGCATCAGGTGACCAAAGTATTGGAGTTTCAGCTTCAACATCAGTCCTTTCAATGAACACCCAGGACTGATCTCCTCTAGGATGGACTGGTTGGAACTCCTTGCAGTCCAAGGGCCTCTCAAGAGTCTTCTCCAACACCACAGCTCAAAGGCATCATCCTTCGGTGCTCAGCTTTCTTTATAGTCCAGCTCTCACATCCATACATGACTACTGGAAAAACCATAGATTTGACATCAAAGACTCAGAAATTCATCTTTAGTAGACTCCAAGACTTACTAATTACTGAGGCCGTTTTGGGGATGTCCACTCTAAAAACAACCCGGAAGTCACTGAAAGGTCAACTGAGTTTTGATTTGAGGGAGACAATTCAAGGGAAATTTTGCCCATTCATTCATCTATAGTCTCTAAAATCATTCCCTGCATTGAGTAGATGTTGAGAAAAATAAAACAAGCAAGCAAACTCAATGCATATGCATTTTGTTATCTTGGTTTCTCAGATATTTCCTAATGGAAGTGATGCGATGATAAGCTCCTGGGATGGGTTGAGTTCATGAAAGAACACTGTGGTGTGTCATGTAAGTGTGCTGCTGCTGCTGATTTGACATTTTTCTTGTAGCTGTTTTTGGGTGGTGGTATTTAGAAATCATTCATATGACGTGTATTTTTGTGACTTTATCCATCCTACATATACATCCTACAACCTGACAGTGTTAATTTCCTGAGAGATACAGCACAAGGAGACCAGGCCTGAGTTCCAGCATGCTTTCCTTTTATTGAATCTCCCCAGGTGACACAGAAGCCTCAGTTGGCTTCATAAACTGGACCAGAGCCAGCTTGAAGCTCATTTCCTCCTTTCCCCCACTCCCTCACTGCCGGGAGCTGGCCTGGCTTAGCGTCCTGACCCAAAGCTCCTCTTATGAGTCTGGTTCCCCAATCTCAACTTTCACCTTCCAGAGAGCTAGCAGAGGAAGCTGGAAGTTCCTTTAAACTGGAACTCCCTTCTGAGGAAATTCTGCAGGATGGAATAGGTACACCATCAGGCCATGCTCCCCCTCTGAGATGCCTTCATGTTGAAGTTTGGACTGAAAGGGCGATGAGGGTATGGGGGCATACCTGCATCAGAAGTAAAGCCTTTCCTAATCTGCCACTTCTTATATAAACATGCTAGCAGCATAGTCTTCTTGGAATATAGAACCTGGAAGCTAAAGTAATCTCTTTTCAATGAACTTGATACTTCCCTTCATTAGGAAGCCAGGGTGGGCTAACAGAAAGCCTGTTGGCGTGCGCAGTTGCAGTGACTAATTAAACCCAGATGCCTGCTTCTTAATTGGTTTTGATCTGTCTTTTACTTTGAATTTTTCTGTATGATTTAATAATGTAATACAACTCACCCTCCTTGGGATGTGAGCAGGGTAGAAATGATAAATAACAGGTAAAAAAATTGATATGTTTTAATGTTAGTGCCTTTTTAATAACGCTGTACTCACAAAGTACCTTTGCTGACTGTGGGATGAGTCGTTTGGGTATTTTGTTTAGGGTGTGGTGGTTGCCTTGGATGTGGATGGTTTCCCCAGTATTACTTGCTTTCTTTTTTTTGTTCATCCTTCATGGACTTGGCATCCTCCACTGTCCTTCCTATTGGCGCCTCTTTTCCCTTCTCCAATTCTGCATTTACACTTGTGTACGTCTCTTGACAATCTTAAAAAACAAACCAAAAAACTTCAAAAAAGTTAATTTATTTGCAAAGAAAAGTGAAAATTGCTCAGTCATGTCCCACATTTTGTGACCCCATGGACTGTAGCCCACCAGTCTCCTCTGTCCTTAGAATTCTCCAGGCAAGAATATTGGAGTGGGTAACCATTCCCTTCTCCAGGGGATCTTCCCCATCCAGGGATGGAAACCAGGTCTCCTGCATTGCAGGCGAATTCTTTACCATCTGAGTCATCAGGGAAGCCCTTTGCAAAGAAATCTGCCTATTGGCTGCCCCTATGCTGACTTCATGAGTTTGAATAAACTCCGGGAGCTGATGCTGGACAGGGAGGCCTGGCATGCTGAGATTCATGGGGTCGCAGAGAGTTGGACACGACTGAGCGACTGAACTGAACTGAACTGAACTGATGCTGACTTCCCCTGTGGTGCCAGTGATAAAGAATCTGCCTGCCAATACAGCAGATGCAGGAGACGTGGGTTTGGTCCCTGGGTGGGAAAGGTCCCCTGGAGCAGGAAATGGCAACCCGCTCCAGGATTCTTGCCTGGAAAATTCCATGGACAGAGGAACCTGGTGGGCTATAGTCCATGGAGTTGCAAAGAGTCGGACACAACTGAGCATACATGCATGTGATAGGCTGTTACAAACTAGCCCAGGCGTTATATGAGGGTAGAAATCTGGTGTTCAGTTCCTTGATGTCTGAGGTGATTGGTTTGAAAGATGCAGCGTTGACTGGACCTTCCGTTTCTGTCCTTAACATCTACCGCTGCCGAATCTTCTCTTTCTGTTAATTCTGGTTCTCCCTGCCTCAAGGAAACTTAGGGATCACCCCTCCTGCTCAGCTGGATAACAAAGCATGCACGAGGACTAGAGTAAATTCTCCTTTTAGTCTAGTGCTTTTCCTATAATATTTCATGGGCCTGGCCTCAAAACACTCTGAAGCTGTGTTCTTGCCATTATTACTTAACCGGACGAAGTCATACTAACGTGCATGTCCTAGAGTTGGAATTTATGGTTTTTCTCCTTTGGCTCTTGTGCCAGATCTACATAAAGAGTCCCCTAATTCAGCTTTTCCTAGAGTGTGCTTTTCTGGACACTGATCCTAGTAAATGCTAGAAAAGACAGTTTTATCATCAAATAAACAATGTTTGGAAAATACTACGTATTGTGCCTGACTCTTAAGAATTCAGAATGTACATTATTGGTACATTATAGTCTCAGAGAGCTCTTGCAGAGCTCAAATTTATTTCTCTCTGTTTAACTCAGTGTTTCCTAAATATGCTTAACCATAACTTCCCCTACTCCCTTCCTCTTTTTTCTTCCCCAGCCCCTGCATATAAGCATCAACTAATAATATCTCCATGAATTAAAATTCCTTGGAATGCACTTTGGGAAATGATGTTCTAAGCAAGGATACGGGAGGGCTCCCAGAGCCCCTCTCACCATGAGGTTACCTGGGAAACTGTGCTTTTGTCGCACTGCCCAGTGCCAGCCCCCGTTTCACGTCCTTCTGCCCGTGATACCATGTCTATCTGCCTCCATCTCATCCATGTATTTTGAAGGCTCAGTATTTTTCTGGTCCATATTGTCTCCGATTGCACCAAATTGTAAACATATGACAGAATAAAATATTTCATCTACAAAGTGAAACTGAATTCTTGCAAAGGAGCCAGGATTTCATGAACTTTGTGGAAATGATGTTGGAGAACAGTTCAAAGCTTATCTGATGCCACTTACAAATGAGGTTCTGGGAGAGTTAACCTACTTAAGAGCAGAAGAGAACCTCAGTGGGGATTAAAGGCTATATGGATTCTCCCGACAAGGAAGTTCTGAATCTCCAAAGAATAAGAGCTGACACTGGGAAAATTAATGATGTGTGTGTGTGTGTGTATGTGTGTGTGTATACATATATATAATATCACACACATGTATATACATATATGTGTGTGTATTTATTTCTATTATCATGTATGTGTGTGCTCAGTTGTTCAGTTGTGTCCAGCTCTTTGTGACCCCACGGACTGTAGCGTGCCAGGCTCCTCTGTCCTCCACTCTTGGTGTTGAACATGCTGTGGGTTTAGACAAGTGTATAATGGTGTGTATCCACCATTACAGTTTCATACACAGTAATTTCACTGCTATAAAAGTCCTCTGTGATCCACTTCTTCCTTCCCTTCTTCCAGCCCTGACAACCACTGATTTTTTTTATTGTCTTCATAGTTTTGCCTTTTCCAGAATCTCATATAGTTGGAATCCTACATTATTTAGCTTTTTCAAATTGGCTTCTTTCACTTAGTAATATGCATTTAAGATTCCTTCATGTCTTTTATGGCTTGAGAGCTCATTTAATTTTTTTATGCTGAACCGTATTTCATTGTTTGGATGTATCGTAGTTTGTTTATCCAGTCACCTACTAAGAGACCTACTGAGAGCATCTTGGTTGCTTCCATGTTTTGGCAATTATAAAGAAAGCTTCTGTCAAGCCCTGGACAATTTTGAGATGACTCAGGAAAGCCGAGACAGGAGTCTGTTTACCTTGGGTTTAGTGGGACACATGTCTGTGATTCGTAGTCACTTCTGCGTTTCCTCCAGCGTCACTAGTTATCCCAGTGCAGGAAGAGTGCCAGGAATGCTTGTCCCACTCACTGCACCAGCCCCCCTAGCACCGTGGCTCAGAGGTGCTGAGTCACACGCCATCCTGCAGTTGTGTTCTTCATCAGCTGATCCCTGAGATGTGCTGGCGGTGGAGGAGAAACAAGGTTTGAAATGTATGGAGCCAATGTGTGCAAGTGTCATTGGTTATATGACATTGTAAGTTAAAGATTTGGTTCTCATCAACACCTAGTTGAGTGGAAGTTCTCTCTTGTCAGGAATATAATTGTTAATGCAGCATCTTTCTGTCAACTGTGCAAAAGGACAGGCTGAGCTGTCTTCTGATTCTCTGTGTAGAACATACACAAGACTTTTTTTTTTTTTTCTGATAAAGAGGCGCTCAAATAACATCCAGCCAAAAATGAAGACAAGAATATTATAGAGCTTTGTTAATTATTCAGTTAATAAAAATATTATGGCATTGTTGCATTTGATGCTCTATGTGTGCTTTTTGTCAGTTTTAACTATAAATTTTTGAGATTCCCTTTCTCAAGTATATATTTAATATGCTTCTGTACTTCAGTAGCAACTCTATACTTATAATTTTCACATTCTTTTTTATTAAAGAGGAAGCATAAGATTGTAGACTCTTTTGGCACTAACTCTAGATCCTTCCATAACCCTTGGCTTCTTTATGTTGAGATCTGGTTGCTTTTTGTGGCATCTGACCAGTTCTCTTTGTCACATCTAGGTCATTTTAATACCCAACAATAAAGCAAATGTTACTTTAATAGGCTCTTGACTCAGAGAAATTAATGAGGGCAGAGTGTTTAAAGGAAGAAGTAGTGTGACTGCTACCTCCCTCCCAGCCTAACCCATCTGAGCACATCTGTGGAATGTCTTTCCTGTACTTGCAAACCTCCTTTCAGGAGGGATTCCTAAATTTGTCTTTTAAAGAGTCTTTCATCATATAATTGAAAATATTGCTGTTACACTGATGGAACAGCTAAATGGGGTTTTAAAATTCTGCAAAACTCCTTTGTGTTCTTAATGTTAAGATCACTTATTAATCTTTTATTGCAACATAAGTGAGTTCTACTCCTATTTTAACTAGGGGACATTTGATTATTGTTAACTGTATTTTTATTTAACAAAAATTTTCTATATGTGTTTTTTTAACTTATTCATAGAACATTGAAAAAGTCAAATAATGATACTGTTTGTCTATAGAATATGCTATGAGGACTGGACTGAAATTTAACAGTGAAGAGAGAATTGATATAAATTTCTAAGCAGCTTTGTTCCCCAAACTCCACTTTCGATGTCCTTTATTTGTTATTTAAGATTAAATTCAGTTGCGTTCCTTGAGCTGAACACATTTCAACCTCATTTAGGTGGGCAATTTTAGCTTCAGAAAGATGAGAATTTGCATATTTTGGTTTTTAAAAGAGCTATAATAAAGGATTCTAAATCTTTAGATGGCCAGTGTAGATAGGATATCGTTAGAGGAAGGCTGGGCTCCCTTTAATTTTGTGTTTCCTGAATGTTGCTGAGGGCAGGAAGAGGAACAGCCGATGCTTCGTTCTGTGTCTGGACATGAAACATGGGCCCCAGCTCCTCTTCCAAGAGCGGACTGCGTGCCATGTGTATCTTCTGTCTCACACCTTCACCACAAGACACATCACAATTACATGGAGCTGGCGAGCTCTGCAAATCCTGAGACGATAGAAATACATTTTCTGGCGTTGCCTTCGATTGTACAGATCTTATGGAGTTGTCCTTAAATTATGCAAACTGTGCTATAAAAAGGAAACAACTTAGGAAGAACTCTGTCAGGGTCACATCAAAATGACTATAATGCTACATAAAGGAAGAACGACTTGTAAATTTGATTTCATTCATTCGTTATTGGCAACAAGCTTTTAGATACAGAAAACACTTCGAATTGTACATGCCTTACCTGGAGTTCTTAAAACACCAGACTTGGTATCTCACAAGCATTGAAACTGAATCGATCACATTTTCAATCCTCAACTCCTTCCTGAGTCATGCTCTGAGTTTGGCGTGGTTTTCAGCACTATAGGCGCGAGGACAGTGCGGCACTGGGATCCTTGCTCTCAGAAGGTTTCAGTTCAGAGCGATGGAAAAGAAGCCAGTGAACCAGTGCAGATGTAATGTGAGCGCCACACCAAGGAATGCAGAGGAGAGAAAGGGGGGAGAGACTGCGGAAGAGGGTACTTCAGAGTGAGTTATCTGAGAAGGCTGCCTGGAGGTGGTGATGTTTGAGTAGAGAACCTCCTTGCAGTGAGAGAGGGAATCAGGTGTGGTTCTAAGAAAGGAGCTTTCTAGATGGAGGGAATTGCACATGCAGGTGTCTTGAGGTGGGAATATGCAGGGCTTGTTCGGGGAAGAGCCAAAGGCTCATCCGACTTGAAAATGAGTGGTGGCTGATGATGGAGGGGAAGCCGGTGTGGGCAGAGGTGTGCTTTGGTCTTTAGTTTCAAAAGATCGCCGGTTGCCCTGTGGAGAACATTCTGCAGGCTGACCAGACAGGGAGCCGCGTCTGTCTGTTCGCGTTTGCAGAGAAACCATCCTAAGATATAGCAGCTTAAAGCAACAGCCTTGCGTGCAACTCACAAGTCTGCGGATCCACAACTTGGGCTGGACTTGGCAGGCAGTCTCCATCAGGCTTAAATATTTCAGTTCAGGGGAGCAAGGCATTAACGAAACATCGTGTGGTTGCAGAAGGCTTCCCGGCGGAGCTGAGACCTGAGGTGTCCCTGAAAGAGGCAGTGGGTTTGGACAGATAGGTGAGGATGTTCTGGAGAGGGGGAAGCATGAAGGGAGGAACTGGGGTGAGTGCACACATGGTGTGTAGGTGTGTGCTGCTGACCACACTCTTGTAGTCTGACTGGGGGTGTGATGACTTGGGCAGGGCTGCAGAGGTGCTTGTTGGTCAATCGCTCAGTCCTGTCTGACTCTGCGACCCCATGGACTGCAACACGCCAGGCTTCCCTGTCCTTCGCCATCTCCCGCAGTTTGCTCAAACTCATGTCCATTGAGCCAGCGATACCATCCAACCATCTCATCCTCTGTTGCTCCCTTTCTCTTTCTGTCTTCAATCTTTCTAAGCATCAGGGTCTTTTCCCATGAGTAGGCTCTTTGCATCAGGTGACCAAAGTATTGGAGCTTCAACATCAGTACTTCTAGTGAATATTCAGGTTGATTTCTTCTAGGATTGACTAGTGTGAAGTGAAGTGAAAGTTGCTCAGTCATGTCTAACTCTTTGCAACCCCATGGACTATACAGTCCCTGGAATTCTCCAGGCCAAAATACTAGAGTGGGTAGCCTTTCCCTTCTCCAGGGGATCTTCCCAACCCAGGGATCGAACCCAGGTCTCCTGCCTTGCAGACCGATTCTTTACCAGCTGAGCCACAACGGAACCCCAAGAATACTGGAGTGGGTAGCCTATCCCTTTTCCAGGGGATCTTCCTGACCTAAGAATCAAACCAGGGTCTCCTACATTGCAGGTGGATTCTTTACCAACTGAGCTATCAGGGAAGGTTTGACCTCCTTGGTGTCCAAGGGACTTTCAAGAGTCTTCTCCAGCACCAAGTTTGGAAGGCATCCATTCCTTGGCACTCAGCAGAGGTGGTAGGTGTGTGGCTAAGCTTCAGAAAGACTGGACCACGAGAGGATCAGCTCGGAGGTGGAAGGAAGTAGCCCTGGAAGACATTTGAGGACAGGAGCAATGTGGGAGGTGAGAGAACCCTGGCCTTGTGCTGGAGATAGGGAGTGGGTGGGCGCTGGAAGCTGCCCACTCCCGGGGGAGCATGGCACCGAGAGGACCACCCTGGACTGATGGCCACGGGACGAGGAGGTGGGCAAGGCGGGCGCCAGCTGACCTGTAAGATGAGGCAGGCCTTGCCAATGGCTCCAGGTGGGCGGGGAGGGGAAGGTGTGTAAAAGGTGATCCTCGGCAGGACACCCTCAAAGTGTGTTCTCTCTCCCATAGAGTAGTAGCATGTACTGTTGATTGAGTTCTCATATCATCACGATGATGGACCATAAACAAAGGATGCTTTCTGACTGTGGTGCTGGAGAAGACTCCTGAGAGTCCCTTGGACTGCAAGGAGATCAAACCAGTCACTCCTAAAGGAAATCAGCTCTGAATATTAATTGGAAGGGCTGAAGCTGAAGCTGAAGCTCCAATACTTTGGCCACCTGATGCGAAGAACTGACTCACTGGAAAAGAACCTGATGCTGGGAAAGATTGAGGGCAAGATGAGAAGGGGAAGACAGAGGATGAGATGGTTGGATGCCATCACTGACTCAGTGGACATGAGTTTAAGTAAACTCGGGGAGATGGTGATGGACAGGGAAGCCTGGAGTGCTGCAGTCCATGGGGTCACAAAGAGTTGGACATGACTAAGTGACTGAACAACAAAAGAATCATCACGATGGTTAGAGATATAGGGATCTTCCTGACCTAAGAATCAAACCAGGGTCTCCTACATTGCAGGTGGATTCTTTACCAACTGAGCTATCAGGGAAGGTTTGACCTCCTTGGTGTCCAAGGGACTTTCAAGAGTCTTCTCCAGCACCAAGTTTGGAAGGCATCCGTTCCTTGGCACTCAGCAGAGGTGGTAGGTGTGTGGCTAAGCTTCAGAAAGACTGGACCACGAGAGGATCAGCTCGGAGGTGGAAGGAAGTAGCCCTGGAAGACATTTGAGGACAGGAGCAATGTGGGAGGTGAGAGAACCCTGGCCTTGTGCTGGAGATAGGGAGTGGGTGGGCGCTGGAAGCTGCCCACTCCCGGGGGAGCATGGCACCGAGAGGACCACCCTGGACTGATGGCCACGGGACGAGGAGGTGGGCAAGGCGGGCGCCAGCTGACCTGTAAGATGAGGCAGGCCTTGCCAATGGCTCCAGGTGGGCGGGGAGGGGAAGGTGTGTAAAAGGTGATCCTCGGCAGGACACCCTCAAAGTGTGTTCTCTCTCCCATAGAGTAGTAGCATGTACTGTTGATTGAGTTCTCATATCATCACGATGATGGACCATAAACAAAGGATGCTTTCTGACTGTGGTGCTGGAGAAGACTCCTGAGAGTCCCTTGGACTGCAAGGAGATCAAACCAGTCACTCCTAAAGGAAATCAGCTCTGAATATTAATTGGAAGGGCTGAAGCTGAAGCTGAAGCTCCAATACTTTGGCCACCTGATGCGAAGAACTGACTCACTGGAAAAGAACCTGATGCTGGGAAAGATTGAGGGCAAGATGAGAAGGGGAAGACAGAGGATGAGATGGTTGGATGCCATCACTGACTCAGTGGACATGAGTTTAAGTAAACTCGGGGAGATGGTGATGGACAGGGAAGCCTGGAGTGCTGCAGTCCATGGGGTCACAAAGAGTTGGACATGACTAAGTGACTGAACAACAAAAGAATCATCACGATGGTTAGAGATATAAAAAAAAAAACTCCAGGTAGTCAAAAGAAGAAAGGGACTTAGTACAGGGGAATACTTAGCCTTTAGAGAGACAGGAAGTAGTGAGGTCTCCAGGAAACTATTAGATGGAACTACCCCCCAGCACAGATGGTGATGGTGGTCGACTCAAACACCCCTGGGCAGCCAAAGCCCTCACTTGGCCACTCCCTCCCCAGAGGAGCGCTCCCCCGATGGATTCTCTTCTGCCTCCGGTTACGTGTGAGCACCCCTTCTTGTGGGGTCTGACAAGGCATCCCACAGGCAGAGGTTCGGAGTGGCGGATGGGGGGCCACCAGCTCCGCAACAGGGTGGGTTCCAGGAGGGGGAAGCGATGCTGAGGAGTCCACAGCCAGCCTGTTTCCTGCCGGTTCGTCCTTCCTCCCTTGCCTTTAATTCCCATTCCTGCAGAGATCCGTGCCCTATTTTATAACATTCCTTTTAGCAGAGTTTGGTCAAAATCCACCTTGGCATTCCCATAAGCAGTTGCAAAGAATAATTTAATGTTAAAGACCACTTAGCATGGTTCCTTATTGTTTCCTCTTATGGAGCAAGACTGGACAGAAAGTCTGGTGAAATAATTCACTGGGTTACAGAAATGCACTTGTACCTGCCTTGTATATTTTATCTATATATCTATGCATTTATCAAAATACAAGTACAAATGCACAGCTTGCTCTTGCTAGTTAATTGAATTCCAAACTCCTCTGGCGTGAATGTGTATATGTGTGCATTGAGCATATTTTATTTTTACTTCTTGGCTTCTTACACGCTGCTAGTCCTCTGCTCCCCTCAGCAGCCCTTCACCTGTGCTGGAACGTCAGCACACACAGAGATGGGAAAGTGTTGCTCAGAAATATTTTTGAAGGTCAGCTCTCTTATTTTCCTTTCTCTTTAATGCTGGAGCAAGAAAGGAAGAATAAACAGAGGAGAAGAGAGACTAAGGAAACTTACCTAAAGTTCATCAAAACCCAGAAGAGAGGGGTAGATTCCTGGGGTGCATACTTGGATCTGCTTTGCTGTCATGCATGACAGGAATGCTCAAGCTTGTTCTCTCACTGCCTTACCAGCTCCGATTCTTCTATTGCTTCATCCCGAAAATATTTATTAGGAGCCTAGGGTATGCCAGAGATTGTGTTAGAATTGGAAGATGAAAATATAGGGTCTCAACTCTTGAAACTTTAGTTTAATGTGGGAAATAGATATATCCATATGTAATTAGGATGTAGTGTGAGCCTTGCATAGCAGGGTCACAAATTTACAAGTATTTCAAGCCGGGGGAATTAATCTTTTCTACATTCTATAGCGGTCTTTTCTGGAAGTCCCTGCAATGGTTGATTTATGTCTCAACGGCACTGGGCTAAGGGCTGCCTGGATCGCTGGTGAAACATTATGACTGTACGTCTGTCAGGTGTTTCTGGATGAGATGATCATTTGAACCAGTGAAGGGAGAGAGCAGATGGCCCTTCCCAGTGTGGCAGGCATCATCCAGTCCTGTGAGGGCCCGGATAGAACAGACAAGCCGAGCAAGGGCGAATTTGCTCTCTTGTCTGCTTGAGCTGGGAAATAATTGTCTCCTGCTCTTGGACATCAGGGCTACTGGTTCTTGGTCTTTTGGACTTAGACTGGGACTTATCCAAAGGCCCCAGGTTCTCTGGCCTTTGGACTAGGACTGGATTATACACCAGCTTTCCTGGTTCTCCTGCGCACAGACAGCAGATCATGAACCTTCCATGCCTCCATAACTGTGCGAGGCAATTCCTGTAGGAAATGTCCATACTTATGTATTTGTCCTGTTGGTTCTGTTTCTCTGGAGAAGCTCAACTAATGCAGCCCCCATCCAGTTCGATGGGTTTTGAGTGTGCGCTGGGCTTTAACTGGTAGCTCAGCTGGTAAAGAATCCGCCTGCAAAGCAGGAGACCCTGGTTTGACTCCTGGGTTGGGAAGATCCCCTGGAGAAGGGATAGGGTACCCACTTCACTATTGTTGGGCTTCCCTTGTGGTTCAGCTGATATTCTGGCCTGGAGAATTCCATGAACTGTATAGTCCATGGGGTCACAAAGAGTCAGACACGACTGAGTGACTTTCACTTCAGTTATCTTGATCTAGCTAGTTAATTTAGTTACTAAACTAAATGCCAAATGCTCGGTAAATTATCTCACTCTCTTTCAGGTCATTTCATTCCTTCCTGGTATCTGTCCAGCAAGGACTCAGCCAGTGAAAGGCCACATATCCTTTGTTAACTCCAGCCCTCCCAACTTCCTTTTTCTCTCTGTTAAGCCTTCTCCTCCTTTGCCTTGCAGGACTCACCATGGTTGTAGATCCTGAGCTGCAGTTCTCTACTGATGTCGAATGAAACCATCTTTGCTGGGAAAAAAAAAATATATATATATATAAAACCAACTTTGCTGGAAAAAATATCCAGTAGTCTGTTTTAGGCCAACAGGACATATACAGGGAAATATTTATAAAACACAGTTCCTGTGGTACTTGCTATTTGGGGGAATGAAGGGGAACTTCATAGAACCAGCAATTTTTAAGTGGGGACCTGAGGGGTAAGTTAGAGTTTTCTGAGTGTGCAGGAGTAGGAAGAACATTCCAAGCTGAGGCACAAGTAAGACATAGAAGCGCACAAGGCTTTTTGGCAAGTGCAAGAAAAGAGTGTTTTGGTCTCTGTTATTTCAGAAAGTCCTGGACAAGAGTTATTTTTGTTGGTGGGAGTCACCTGGCCAGCACCACTGAGCTGACTCTACAGTAAAAATAAAAACGTGTGGTTCCAGTTTAAGATGGGCTCAGAGCCCACGCATTTCTCTCTCTTCACTCTAAAAATGACCTCTAAAATGACAGTGAAGGGATGATAGCAACAATAATAATAGTAATAATAAGGAAAATGACAAAATATTGGGATCCCCTTTTATGACTCTACCATTTACTTTTGCATTTTGATTCCTGGATTGAAACTGGAAGAAAAAAAAAATAGGAAAAACGTTAGTGGGTATGTCTCTTTGGAGGAGGCAGGGCGGGCCTGAGAACTCCTTGGCATCCACTACCCTGTCACTCATCTGCCTGATGAGCGACCATCACCAATGGGTAGTTCAGGTCCTAGGGTCTCTGGCTCTGTGGTCCTGTCCCCCCCCTCCACCTCTCTTCCCAGCCAGAGCCATCCTCCCAATCATTCACCCCCCAAATCTTGCTTTTACACATTGCGCTCTTAACACAGTCAGTCCTATGCTGCCCCTGCCCTTCTGGCCCCTGCAGGCCTCCAGGCTCGCAGTTGTCCTGTGTGTCCCGATTCGGTGTCTCTGCCACGTCCGCGCTCTGACGCACCCGTTCTCCCGATCAGTCACACCTTCCTCACCAGCCTTCTACTCTGCTCCCTGCTTCTGTGCCACCGAGAGTTGTGAACACACACAAATGTGTTGATTGATTTCCTTTGTGTTTATAGAACACGTCACACAGCAAAGAGGAGTGGGGTTTTGCTTCAGTTAAATTCTATTTGAGTCACACTCTCCATCCAATATTCCTCAAGCAGTCATGGAAGATGGTCTCGAAGCAACTTTCATGTGAAGAGTGTTTCCGCTTAAATTCAGCTCCCTGGACGTCCCTCCTCTCCAACACTTGTCTGTATTTCCTTTCTGCTTTCCTACTCCTTTCCCGTGTCAAGGAAGGAAACTGCCCTTTATCCCTCTATGTTCCTCCATCTGTGCTGTGGGCTGAATTCTCTTCTACCTCGTCACACATCTAGCATCATCAGTTTTCTACACTTCTAAATTTTTATGCCTTCTCTCTCTTTCTATGACTCTCTTTTCTGTCTTTTGATATCTTAATATTTTCCAACCTTAAATATCCTCTATTCTTTGCTATCCTCATTAACAACTCCCCTTCTTTTTACCTTTGAAATTCTTGAGCTAGTAGTTGGCACGTCCTGCTTCTTATCCTATACTCCGCTCTTTTTCCCTTCAACATTGGCACTGTTTCCAATATTCTATTGCAACTTCTTTCTGGAAGGTTATCAATGACCTTCAACCTCCAAAATCCAGGAACTTTTCTCAGGTATAATTTCCCTTGACCTTGCTCTAGCATTTAACATTGTTCATGAACTTCTCCAGCTTGAAATCCTCTCAGCTCTTTGTTTCCATGACAACTCACTTTACAGATTCTCCCCCTTTTGATTTCTCTTTCTTCTTCTTCTTTTACTCTTTTTTCTTTCCTCTTCTTCCTCAAATGTAAACATCTATCTGTATGTTATATTTATATATAATATTATAACTTTTGCCATCATTATTAACACTAATATTATTTTCTTGAGCACTAAGTATCCACCATCCTTCCATGTGCTTTCTCTATGTTAACATGACTAATAATTATCATTAGTGGCAGCAGCTACTATTATTCTAATTTTCCAGATGAGGCCATTGAGGGACAAAGAGGCTAAATGATTGATGAAGATAAGATTACAGGGCTAGTGAATGGTGGAGCTGGGATTCAAACTCAGGCAATCTGACTCAGAAAGTCCAAGTTTCTAACCATCTCGGTCATCTTTTCTTCTCATCTCCAGGTTTTCTAGGTTCTGTCTCTCTTCCCAGGCTTTGAAATGCATCCCTAGCGTGTGACTACTCCTGTACCCTTTTCCCACTACACACTGCTGATGCTGTGGTGCAATGTGGATGGCGATTAACAAACCCAATGAGTCCCATCAAGACAATGCACACACAACAGTACATACACAAAGGCACAACCATTAGCAAAGGGTGCACACTCGTGACCGTGTCTGCCAGACGCGTGAGCTAACTTATGTGATTGGACAAGTGAATTCACATCCTCATCTTTGAAAATTTGCAGCTCGAAGGTTCGTGTATGAGGAACCTTCTCTGGCTGTTACCAGCCCAGGAGCATGATCTTTGTTAATGGCTCCACTTGGTTCTGCCCTCAGCATTATCGGTGATGATGTTTCTGCATCTATTTGCCCCTGTAAATTCTATCTCATCAACATGTTTCTTCTGCTACCCTCATTCTGCTTCACTCTCTCTGTTTCTTCTCCTTCTGACAACCTCTATGCTAGCTTCTTATCCACCAGAAAGATGGTTTAGGGTGTATGAATAAAATACACAGTTGTCATAGAGGGGGCTCTCTGGAAAATTCTTCTGTGTTTGATGTCACCAAACAGCTGCTCCATTTTTAGGAGCCTTTTAGCTCAATTCTGTGGGTCTTTCAGCAGGAGCCTTAGCCAGGCCAGGTCTTAAGTACAAATGTTTACAACTTTGAGAAATAATCTCCCATCTACCTCCACAGAAAGATGTCAGCAGCTTCATGAGTGATTTCTAACCCTGCTTAAGGAAAACCAATTCTATCTGATGGACAGGCGATTGAGCAAAACATTTTCATGTGAGATGGAGCTGTTGCATTCACTGTATGCCAGGCTGGAAGAACAGACCCCTGTTGAGAGGACATCATGGAAGTGGGTCCTGATGCTAAGTCCTCTTGACAGACCTTGGCCGTGTCCCCTGATTTTGGTGCATTGTTTAGGCTTCTGCTCTCACAGCTGACCTCTTCTCAGGATACTATATTTTGGATTTTACCTCCCCAGCTTTATAATTTCAAGACATGGATTTTCTTCTCTATATTCTTAATGCAAAGGTTGTTTTTCAAGGCGACTCGATTTAGTGACTAGGCTTTTAAGCTTTAAAAAAGTAACTTTTTTTTTTTTAATTAGAAGATTTTGTTTTTGAGTGAATGATACATAGAAGAGATATACTCAGAGTCTGGGGACCTAGGGAGTCCAGTCCAGTCACTGCCTCCTCCCGTGGGCAGCTCTCAAAGAGGCCCTGAGGGTTGTTTTGAAAATATACAGAGTGTGAGGAGAAGGTATACATGGAGCCCTTGGGTGTGAGGTTCTTGTTCCTTGGTTTTCCTTGGTAAAGCAGTCAGTCCCTGGGAACCTTACTTTCCTTCTGCTTACAGTATGCTTATTAAATAATACTTGCCTTACCTAATCCTACCTTGAAGGATCTTGCAAGTAAGGTACTGTTTTTTTTTAAGGACAGGAAGAAAAAAGTGAAAAGTCTCTGCAAAATGAAAAAAGTTTTGCAAACGTTAATTGCCACATTCGGATAAAAAGAACTTCCCTGAATTTAGTCAGTATCTGTTGACTTTTAAAATGGTTTGAACAAATGAATGAGTGCCTATAATTATTTTTAGCTACTGTGCATCTTTCTCATTGTGTCTCCTCCAGTAAACAATTCTCAAGGCTGCTGTACCAAGCAAAACCAATATAAATGTGAATAGAAAATCTCATTCTTGTTAAACGAGAGATGGGTACACGCCATGGTGTATTTTGTGCTCTAACTGTGGGAGGCTCTGAAAGCATATTGTTGACTGAAAAATAAAGGCATTATATTTGCTCTTATTTTCATTTTCCATGTTCTATATCTGAAAGCCACAAGGAAAAATGCCCAAAAGACCAAAGTAATGGGGGTTCATTTATGTATTCGGCCCTTTATGCCCTGCAATAGAATTCAATTGGTGAATGTACTTTGCATGATTTTCCCATAGAGCATGCTGTATTTAATAGCATCTGGCACATCTCGGAGAGCCCCATTGCATATCATGAGATGTTTAAATTGTATTGAATACTTTATAGAAGCAATTTCCATTCTGTTGTGTTCTTTCTACAGATGGTGATCTGAAACAGTTAACAGTGATAATACTCTTCACTTTACTTATTTGTGACTTATCGCTGTTGCAGATGAAAAAACAGCATTTAGGGATCACTGTTTCTATTCCCCAATTTGGAGGCTGACTTCTCCTCAGATGATACCTCAGACTTCACATTTAGGTCCCTGGAGCCAGATGGAAGCTAGCGTTTGTGTGCGTGGACTTGATTTGTACCTGTAATAGTCAAGTAGAGTGCTCAATTTAATAATGACTGGTACCTACAGAGACCAATGAACTTGATTCTTAAGGTAATGGAACCAACACAAATACCGTTTGAAGAATGTGTCTGTCTTGCCCAATTTCAAATGCCCATGAGCACACACTTATTCAACCAACATTGAGCAGAGTGGTTGGCTCAATGGGGCTGTGCAGTTAATAAGATACTCTTCCTGCTCTCAGGGATTATATAATCAAGCAGGGAGGAGTTATTTGACAATAACAAGTATTTGTCAAGTGTCTCCTTTGTTCTAGGCATTGCACTATTTAAGACAGTAGTAATTGTATTTTGTTTAGAGTATTTCCAGGTAAACTTAACAAAATATCCAGTTTGAAGATTTAAGCAGGAACAATAAAGACATTGAAAGTTATTGTGATATGCTTAATTAGCTTTGATTGTCTAAATAACCCCATCAAATACAGTCTACCTTGGTAAACTGGGTATTTGGTTGGTTGGTAAGCCGATGGCTATATGTTAACCCATTCACCAAAGAAGTCTCTAACTTATGCTTTTAAGATCATAAAGTTTTGATCTAGGGAAGAGAAATAAAATCAGTGTAAGTGAAGTTTTTTTTTTAATTCACTTAAGGAATGTGGAGATTTACATTTTAATGATACGCTCTAAATCTCACTACATATATATTCACATCCAGAGTTAAGTGCTAAGATGCTTTTTATGTGAGAGTGTAACCATAACATAATGAAACTGATTGTAAAATACTAGAATACACTCACACCCTCCTTAATCTTTGTGTTTCTATAGGGCTCCCCAGGTGGTTCAGTGGTGAAGAATCCTTCTGCTAATGCAGGAGTCACAAGAGACATGGGTTCAATCCTTGTGTTGGGAAGATACCCTGGAGGAGAAAATGGCAACCCACTCCAGTGTCCTTGACTGGGAAATTCCATGGACAGAGGAGCCTGGTGGGCTACAGTCCATGGGGTCACCAGGGGTCAGACATGACTGAGTGACTAAACCCACTCCAGTGTCCTTGACTCGGAAATTCCATGGACAGAGGAGCCTGGTGGGCTACAGTCCATGGGGTCACCAGGGGTCAGACATGACTGAGTGACTGAGCGTGCACACACACACACACACCTGTTTGAATCTCTCTCAAACATCTACTGTCAGACTCTATAGGTAGGTGTTACTGAATTCATGCCATTGATAGACAAGAAAAAATCTGTCAACATTTATCCATTTGTTCATTTAATCATTTAGTTGAAAAATCTGTATGCATTAATGCACATATAAATGTTTAAAGGGCACCTATTAAGCCTAGTGGGCTGCCGTCTATGGGGTCGTACGGAGTCGGACACGACTGAAGTGACTTAGCAGCAGCAGCATTAAGTACTAAGCATCGAATGTTGGAAAGATAAATGAATTAGGCAGCATCCCTGCCCTCAAGTATCATGAAAATAAATGCCTTTAATACTGTGTGATAAGACCTCATGCAGAGGTAAGCAGTGGGTAGAGTGTTTTCATGGAGAAGGAAATGGCAACCCACTCCAGAATTCTTGCCTGGAGGGTCCCAGGGACAGAGGAGCCTGGTGGGCTGCCGTCTGTGGGGTTGCACGGAGACGGACACGGCTGAAGCGACGTAGCCGCAGCAGCAGCAGCGGAGTGTTTTCATGGAAGGAAGGAGGTGACTGCCTGCCTTGAGGGCCTGGTGACTCTATGAGTTAAGTTTTCTCAGTTGTTCAGTCGCTAAGTCATGTCCAACTGACTCTTTGCGACCCCTGGACAGCAGCACGCCAGGCTTCCCTGTCCTTCATTATCTCCTGGAATTTGGTTAGATTCATGTCTCTTGAGTTGGTGATGCTATCTAACCATCTCCCCTCTGCCACCCCCTTCTCCTTTGGCCTTCAATCTTTCCCAGCATCAGGCTCGTTTCCAGTGGAAAACGTGAGCCACGGTAGTGTCATGTTTAGCAGGAGAGAGAAATAAGCAGAGAAGCCACATTTGGTTGCAGAGTAATGCACTTAGTTTTGTCCCTGTTGGTGTTGGACCGTGGCGGAGGGGAACTCCTGCAGGCAGTTTTGGCAAAGTCTCACTCACGGTACCAGGCCGCCTGGGAACGCGAGGGTAAATAAAACACGAGCCGCTGCAGAGAAGTCACAGCCTGGCAGAGGAGTTAGTGTCCACATCCTAGAGGAATGCACGACAAGGCTGGCCCTGAGCTGTCCCAGAAGACGTTCCCAGGGAGCCGTTCCCACCCGTGGTCCTGCCTGCAGACCCCCTGCAGCACTTCCCCTGAAATCCAGGCTGGACCGGGCCAGACTTGGAACACATTTTTAATTACATCACTCCGTCGTTAAAAACCCTTTTGACAGTTCTCAATTACCTATGGGGTAAATCCCGTACCCCTTACTGTGTCACATAGGGCTCCTCAGAGCTGGTATTCCACACCTCCTCCCAGAGTGCCAGTTGGAGCCAGTGCGCCTGTGCGCGCCTGCTCCTGAACTTGGTCCAGAGTGTTACTTGGCTTGGATTGGTCTCCCCAGCTGCCGAGTGGGGATGGTTGTGCTAAGACTCAGCCTTGACCCCTGCTGCTCCCAGAATAATGACTCCATAATAGAGTATACAGTGAAGAGTGGATACTGATTGGAAGACCTGGGTTCTAGTCTTGATTCCATACTTTCCAAATTCCACTGGTCACGTACGGTTGTGAGAGCTGGACTGTACAGAAGGCAAGGTGCTGAAAAATTGATATCTTCCAACTGTGGCGCTGGAGAAGAGTCCTGAGAGTCCCTTGGACAGCAGGGAGATCAAACCAGTCTTAAGAGAAACCAACCCTGAATACTCACTCATTGGAAGGACTGATGCTGAAACCGAAACTCCAGTGTTTTTGGTCATCTGATGTGAACAGCCGACTAATGGAAAAAGTCCCTGATGTTGGGAAAGATTGAGGTCTGAAGGAGAAGAGGGCATCAGAGGGTGAGATGGCTGGATGGCCTCACCAATGCAATGGATATGAACTTGGGCAAACTTTGGGAGCTGGTGAGGAACAGAGAGGCCTGGCGTGCTGCAGTCCATGGGGTTGCAAAGAGTTGGACATTGCCCATAAATTTCTTATGTTTGATTGCATCTGTAAAATTGAGTTAAAAATGCTCTTGTAGTTTTCCTACAAGGGTGATGGAGAAGTTCAGAGTGATATATAGATGTACAGTAACTTGTAAATGAAGTGCTTTATAAATGTATTTTATAAGGACATTTCATTTTAGGCATTGATATGCCTATTTCTAAATAACAAGACAAAGTGTACAATTAATGACATCTTGCAGTGGTACACCGTTTTTTTCCTGAGAAATTTTTGATGAATATATGTTAAAAATAGAGTACCATCTATCACCAACCTAAATCGATCACTTACTTTGTACTTGGTGGCCTGCTAGATATTGAAAATTCATCACTTGCTTTCTTCTTTTGGAGATCATATGTATTTACATGTCACAAGTAACTAGGCAGCAAAGTATATGCTTTGATATTTCAGGGAAATTCAATGTTATCTCAAATTCCATAACTAACTTGTACTTAGGTTTGGCTACACAATGAGTAATGAATAATTTCTTGCACTTTTGCTTGGTGTTCCTCAAATGTTTATGGTCCATTATTCTTCTCTTCTGGTTTCCCAGGCGGCTCAGTGGTAAAGAACCCACCTGCCAGGCAGGAGGTGTGGGTGTGATCTCTGGGTGGGAAGATCCTTCTGGAAAAGGAAATGGCAACCCACTGCAGTATTCTTGCCTGGAGAATCCCATGGACAGAGGAGTCTGGTGGGCTACAGTCCACGGGGTCGCAGAGAGTCAGACACAACTGAGCGATTAAACAACAGCAGCAGCATTCTTCCCCTCATATTAATCTGATGGTGCTTGGAAGATGCCTTGTGAAGACAGTGCACCTGGAAAGACAGTGATGGGTAGCCCCTTTAGCAGTTGCATTAAACTTTTTATCTGCTTGTCCACGCCACTACAAAAGTGAACCCACAAACGCAGTGGAAGAATTGGAAATGGGCTACTTCGGAGACAAAGGTGTGAATGTGTCTTCTGAGCTGGAGTCCTAACTGCCCCTAGATAGCTGCTAAAAGCATTCTTTGATCTCCTCCTTTGACCAGGGCTTCTGTGTTCAAAATGATTGGTTTTTCTTTTTCTTTTTTTTTTCTGTATCAGCAAGCATACAAAATGTTTGCTTATCCGCATTTTCTGAAAATTCACATTTTCATCCCTCATTTCTAACCTCTAAGTGCTGACCCTTTAGCTCCAGACATTATTTAGCAACATTAGTAGCAATACTTGTATTACCAATACAGCTAGTTTTATTGAACGTTCCATGTACAGGCTCTGTGCAGAGTGTTTTATTCACAGTATCTAATTTATTCTTCACAACATAGGTGGATGAGAACAATTAAATTAATAGATAGGGATTATTCGATCCCTGTTGTCCTGATTAGAAAAATGAAGCCTGGAGAAGTTAATTTGCCCAAGGGCACACACCTAGGTTGTGGAAAGGCAGAGTCTAAACTCAGAAAACTCAGAACTTTCTGATTCTAAAGCCTGCATAACTAACCACTGAACTACGCTGTCTTCTGAGGCTTTGTCTCCTGGTTACATTTCTCTTTTACAAAAGCTATACCTCTTCTTCAAAGAACTGCACATTAATTTGTGTGCGTGCATGCCTGTGTGCTAAGTTGCTTCATTCAGGCATGCTAAGTCACTTCAGTTGTGTCCGACTCTTTGCAACCCCATGGACTATAGCCTGGCGGCCTCCTCTGTCCATGGGATTCTCCAGGCAAGAATACTGGAATGGGTTGCCATGCCTTCCTCTAGGGGATCTTCCTGACCGAGGGATCGAACTCGCATCTTACTTCTCCTGCAGTGGTAGGAGGGTTCTTTATTACTGGTGCCACCTGGGAAGCCTTCACATTAGTTTGCATCACCTGTTTCTTCTCTCTTCTTACAACCTTCCCTCCACATAATTAGATCCCAATCTATGCCTGCTTGAGAGCAAAGTGTCTGACCCGGAGGGTTTCGAACAAGTGACCAGCAGTGACAAGTGAGCCATTTCCCCCGTCCCTGGTAGCTGGTGGCTCTGGCCATCACGGGCCGTGAGTAGCATCCATTTACCCTTTGGTGTACACGCAGACATCATTCTCTGTTTTGATGGGGGATAAGGTCTGTTAGGGTCTGTGTCAAGCCTGGCTCCTTGAGAAAATTTTCATAGAATTCCGGCTCCTCAGCAATCATAGCATTATTTCATATTCAAACTCTTTCTAAATCTAGCTCTTGAGGGGTCCCTGTTCACATTTCACTGATCTTTCTAGAGTCCACGTGTTGACTGCAATTAGAATAAAACTTCCTGAGGCCAGTGCGAGGCACATAGGAGCTGCTTATCAATAGATGAGCATTACAAATAAATAAGCAAATAAGCTTCTGCCTTGTACAATGACCTGTTATTATTCTGTGACTAGGTTTCTAAGTCAAAGTGAAATGGAAAATTGAAATAATTATCTGGACAATTTAGCAGGAAAAATAGTAGCAGGCGAAATTTTCCAGATAATGTGTGACTATGGCTCATATCACTTAAAATAAAGAGTCCGAATCGTGTTTGCACACCTGGGTCTATGTGTTAGGAGTCAGCTCTCTGCCTTTTAGGAGACAACTCTGGATGTTTATCCAGAGAATGCATCTAAATGCACCTCCCCAGCCTGGCCTCTGGTAGTCTGGCAATGTACACAGTGCGATCATGCATCACTGTTGTGATGCACGACTGTTGTCTGCAGTTCCCGTTGACCACCCTGTTGGAGAAGCTGGTAACCATTCATAAATATACATGTGCCACGTGTCTCAAAAATGTCTGTATATGGGAAGTGTTGCAAAATGCCATGAGCTACAATACACATGGCCTGGATAAAATGCTTTCTTTATAGAACCATCTCTGGTGCAAGAATCGTTGTCTAATTAAGGCACCAGAGCTCACCCCACCAATAGCAGCAAAGGACACAACACTGAAGCATCTCTTTCTCCCCAAAGGCATGTTATTTTGTGCTGGAGACTCTCCATAGGTGGAAAAGCACAAAGAGAGACAGAGCAGCATTTGGGCTCTTCCATTAGAGCAGGACGGTGGGGGGTATAAGAGTAGGGCAAGAAGGGGGCCGGCGGGGGTGGGGTGGAGTGGTGCTGAGACGACTTATTTCCAAGTAACACAGAAAATTGGCCCCGTCCCTTGCAGTAGCTACGATACCTGTGAACATTTCTTTCTTTGCCCAGATCTGCACTGAGTGTTTCCTCCTTGATTTCTCAGCTCAGTCTGTGGTCGTTGGTATAAACCAAACAGATCCTTAGAGCCCTTAATAAATCCAGAAGGGGCTTATAGGGGAGCCCTTATAAATATATAATAGCCACCTCTGGATAACACGTAGACATTTTAACTCCCTGAAAGGGATGTTATTTTGAGGGTCTCCAACAGTAACATCAGAAAAGGAGCCACATGGATGATGAGGAAAAGAAAGGAGGAGGCTGCATTTAAGATGGCTTTTTCGGACCACTCTTTCATCAACTATTGATTTGATCGCAAAAGCCTTTAGTTAGTGCAGGAATTCCACTGGTAATAATTAAATTTTCAAGAGAAACGCTCGTAGGAGAAATGAGGGGAGTTGGGTAGGGAGGGGCTGCATGTGGAGTGGGATCCACGAATGTTAATGACTCCGTTAGAGTTACATAAAATTAACAGAAATTAGATCTACGGTTATTGAAGAGCCTCCATTATATTGAGAGGAGCCATTTAAGTATAACGATTGGGGATTATGGTTCAGTGGAGCCTTTTAACTGTTCATTTGCCTGCCTAACTGACCGCTGGGTAGGATGAGATAAATTCAGGATATTGTAAGACGACTCCTGTTTCCCTTTAATTTGGATTCTGTTACCCAGTTTTCTTCCTGACATCACAGTAAGGGTTAATGTTGGGGTTTATCTGTTCCTGAGTGAGGTTGACTGACTATAACAGTTCTTGCAAAGTGTACAGTCATTAATGGTTTCCCAGCGCCCCATTTATCGCGATTTCTGTCTAAAAGACACCCTCCCTCCATTTCTGTAGCATCTACTTGGGATGTAGCTTGGGCATGTCCTTCTTCCACAGGGCCCATGATTGCTTCCAAACGTTCCCATGATCTGAACCTTCGTTATCTCCAAGGTGGGGTGAGTGAGCATTCTAATGGAGGATGGTGATGTTTAAGACAATGGAGTGCAGCTCCTGCAATTGATGGTTTTTTTTTTTTCCTCCTATAGACAAATTTTGTATGCTAATGTGCTTCTGAAGGCGAGACCTGACTTTTTACTGCAAACTCCTGCATTGGCTGCCGAGAATGTTAGCTCAGGTTTCATGGGAAAAGATATTGTTTGTGAGTAATGGGGTGAGAAGAGAGAAGAAGAGTGCAATCTGACTGCCTATGACGAAGACTTGACAAGAAAGAGTTAAATCCCCATCTATTGTCTGAGGCGGGCTTACTGTTAGGAAACTGGGGCGTATAGATTAATTCACTGGGGG